AAAGAAGTTATTTTGGTATTTGACTTTTTAGAGGAGGTTAAATATGAAACTCCCCTTTATATAAACACGTTATTATGTGATTTCTGTTTCAGAGAAACAAGCTCTAACCTTATCTTCAAGTATGTTCATTCGATAGGGAAATCTCAGCCTTTTCTTCTTTGTCTTCCTCGTCTTGCTGGGAGCTTCACAGGCTCCTTATGGCATGTATGAGCCATTTTCATTGATAAAAACAGTGGAAATATCGAGCTAATTCCTCAAATATTTCCGGTGAAACTCGAGAATAATGACCTAATCAATGAGAAGGCCAAATCGACATATTTTGGTGACTTGCATGCTAAGCTTTTAGACTAATACAACACCAAATTGATATGGAGAATTGATGTTTTTCTGTGTCTTTGTTTCTCTTTACTGTTTACCGATTTAGCTTTCAGGCTTTTCTTTTGTATTGAAAGCAGATGTTCTGCTAGGTTTTCAAAAGTCTTGTTAGCTACTTCGACAAAGCTGAAGAAAAAATCACTCAAATCAAATCCGAGTCGTCCCCTTCTCCCACGAGGAATCGTAAGCTTCTGTCATGAGGATGCATTGAAGACAAAATCATCTATCTCAAGATCGTCCTTTTTCTCGATTGTTTGCTTTTTTTTCACCATACAAATCATCATGTTAATTAAATTATTATTCTAGTGGATATGTACGATTAGGGTTCTTGGGGTTTGCGTGAGAATATGAGCGTTCCAAACCCAAAAACATAGCGAAATAACTCTGATAAATATTTTAAAAACACTTCCTAGTAGAAAAAGGATATTACAACATATCTTATTATATAAACACATTTCTATGTGATCTCTGTCTTAGAGAAACAAGCTCTAACCTTATGATCTTCAAGTATGTTCATTCGATTGGGAAATATCAGCCTTTTCCTCTTTGTCTTCCTCGTCTTGCTGGGAGCTTCACAGGCTCGCTTTGGCATGTATGAGCCCCTTTTCATTGATAAAAACAGTGAAAATATCGAGCTAGTTCCTCAAATATTTCCGGTGAATGTCAAAAATAATGTCCTAATCAATGAGCAGGCAAAATCGACATACATTGGTGACTTACATGCTAAGCTTCTAGACAAATACGGCACCAAATTTATATGGAGGATTGATGTTTGTTTGTGTCTTTGTTTCTCTTTATTGTTTACCGATTTAGCTTTTAGGCTTTTCTTTTGCATTGCAAGCAGATGTTCAACACTTTTGAAGACAAAATCACTCAAATCGAATCCAAGTCGTCCCCTTCTCCCACGATGAATTGTAAGTTTCTCTCTTGAGGATGCATTGAAGACAAAATCATCGATCTCAAGATCATACTTTTTCATTATTGTTTGCTTTTTTCACCAGATACAAGTCATCATCTTAATTAATTACTGTTCTAGTGGATTTGTACAATATTCGATCTGCGATCACCAATATTCTTTCTTACAACAGCCAATAAGAATATATTCAACCAAAATATAAAATAAAAACACATGCATGTATTTTTTTATTTTAGTACAGAACAAAAAAAGTTGAAAAATTGGAAAACCTTTTACCAGACGCGCCTAAATCAATGATTGCAAAGTAGATCACCGAACCTCTTATTTAATTAGGTTTTGCCCTAATTGAAACAGAGACACACACACAACGCATAAAAGGAAAAACTCGACTCCCAAGTCAACAGAGAGTCTCTCGCTTCCTTCTTTTTCCTTCCTATCGTTTTAGTATCGCAGAAATTCTCAGAGTAAGAGGTGCGAAAGATGGAGAAATTGTACAGCAAAATAAAAATCGATTCTCAAGCCCAGTCGTTGTCTCTTGCAACGGCCTCGAGATCACCAACAAGAAATTGTACAGCAAAATAATTCTCCATCTACGAAAAAAGATGGCTAAGAAAAATCCGAGATTTACTCGACCGACTTTGAAAAACATGAAGAAGGAGAAGAAGAAGAAGAAAAGGAAGAGTATCAAAGAGATAATCAAAGAACCTTCAACCGCCGTTCTCAAATCTTCCGCCGCCACCGCCTTAACCAACGACGGAGGAGTAAGAAATTTGTCGTCGTGGGTCAAAACTCAATTACTTGGAAGAGGGACTTGATCGAGGATAATCATGGAGAGTTACTTGAGTCAGACGTCAAGCTTTTCGCTAGAGATATCTTGTCTGGACTCAGATACATCCACGATCGAAACATCATCCATTGCGACATTAAACCGGAGAATCTCTTTCTCTGCCCTACCGATCACCGGTTAAGAGCTAATGGGTAATTTGACCAAGATTGGAGATTTCGGTTTAGCTATGGAGAAAGGGTCGATAGAGTACGGTGACGGAACCGGTCATAGGAGAGGCACTGCGAGGTATGTGGCTCCAGAGACTATGAGCCATGGGATTGTGGACTTTGGAACGGATGTGTGGGCTTTTGGGTGTACGGTTTTGGAGATGTTAACCGGAGAATTGGTTTGGGGAGAACATGGTGATCTTGGTTTCGATGATTGGGTCGATCTCATCGGTCACAGTGATTGCCTTCCTCGTATACCGGGTTGGTTGTCTAAAGAAGCAATAGATTTTTTGAGCAGATGCTTGGAGAGAGACGTACACAAGAGGTGGTCTAGCCATTCACTCACGAATCATCCCTTTGTTAGGCTGTGAAAGAAGTTGAAGAGTATAGTAACTAATGATCGATCTGTTTATCTTTGTTGTTTCAACTGTTTGGAATGGTTTTGTGTTCTTCCAGTACATGATATTTTGTAGGAGTGCTAAAGTCTTTTAATTGCTATTTGTATCAATCACTTTGAGTTCTGTATCATTAGTAGTTTAGATTTGTACTCAACCATGAACATAAATTTTAAAAAAAAAGATTAGAGTTTCTGTTTCAGTAACAATACTGTAATGTTAATGTGTGTGATGGGAATTTGAATAATTCAAAACCCTTAAACAGAATATCTTTTATAAATTTTAGTTGGATCAGTAATCAATCTAAACAACCAATAAATATTATCCAAATCTTAATACATTTTTTAGATCCATCAACCAAGCAAAATCAACAACAAAATCCTTAAGCTTTGGTTTATAATACCAACAAAACCGATTTTAGAGCCATTGTTCAACAGTTAACTGAACTCCGTTCATTTTCTTCAGTCAATCCTCCAGCGTCACCAAACCCAAACACACCAAAACTCCCACATTCAAAATTGGTTAAAGTTTGACCAGCTCCTTTGACTCTAAGTTAACCGCCCTCCACCTCCACTTCCATCTCCTGTTCCATCCGATATAATGGCCTCTGAATCGGTTCTGTTAACCAATTTTGGCTAACCCGGTCGAATCTCCATTCTCGGCCTATATGTTTTACCTAATCGAATCAAGCTTTGTTGGAAACCGACCTCAGGTACAAAACCAAAACCTGGTCCAACCATCAACCAGTTGATTTTCATCGCATCAAACCTATCTTAATCCACTGATTTTCCAGCCTCCAGCTCCACAATTAAAGAAAAAAAACAATACAACAGAGAAAATTTATGATTTTTTTTTTATTGTAAGAAACAGAGCAACCTTATGTTGGTGAGCCTTCTTCTCCCGTTTCCAGTATTCTTCTTAAATAAGATGGGATGGTGAGATTCTAGGAAAAGCTTATGTTGTTTGAGAAAAAAAAATTTTGATTTTCCAATGTTGTGGCAAAATAAATTACGATTTTCTTCCATTTCCCTTCCAGCGAGGACTTGGTGATAGAGAGGCTCACCAGCAGAAGTTTTTCCTAAAATCTCACATCCCATCTTTGGAGAAGTATGAGCTTTTGAGCTACAACTCTTCATCATCATCTTCTTCATTTTTGGATAGAGATTAGGAGAATCACGAATTCACTACTAAAAACAAAATATATACATTATCATTATTTAATTTTTATCTAAAAAATTTCATGGATTTAACCATAAACCGCTAGTAATCAAATAAAACATTAACAATTTTTTTTTTAAAATGTGGAGACAGGAAAACAATTACTGGTAGTATGAGAATCCATAGATAACAAAAACAAGAACAAATCACACATTTTTTTAAAAAAATATAATAAATGGATTGAATATAAAAAAATCTATAGTTGTTCTTTAAATGGTACATACCTTTTAAAATGAATCGAGTTCTTTGATTTGATGCATTTGAAATCCTACACAAATTATCAAGAATTTAATTGAAGCTTTCACAATTTTTGATCTAAGAAATACGGCCGCAATGATAACATATAGATTTAAGGAGTTTCTGCATCTTATATATAGAAAAAATTAACCTAAAAATATCAAAGAGAATAAACAACACCGTATAGAAAAGTAGAATCCATTAGAATAAGTCAACGCATAAGTCTAAACATAACAAATATAAAGGAAGAATCATATGATTCATGAATACAAAGATTAGATGTTGCAATACAATCTTAGAGCATCTGTATTAAGATTGATCTCTTACAAGAGTCTCTTATATATAAAAAATATTAAAATAATAAATAATAATATTTAAGTATAAGAGTCTTTCAAAAAAGTTTGAGAGAATCTTTCAAATTTTTGAAGGGATTTTCCAATACTTTTTAGACTCTTGTATATTACATATAACTATTTAATTTATTATTATTTGTATAGATAAGAGACTCTTATGAGAGACTCTACAATGCAAATACTTTCAGTGTTCATCTTTCCTTCTTAACATATAAAAGGAGGCATAACAATAATGTTAAAAGAAACCAAAATATTATAATTTGTAAGATTGGTAAAGTCTTCTAATTGCTATTTGTCTCACTTTGAGGTCTATTTCTCAGAACCAATCATAAACATAATTGTCAAAAAAGAGATCTGATTCTCTCTTTTAATGACAATGTACTGTTATTGGGTAACTAGTTCACAAATGTTTAAAAAATTATTACATAAATTATACTTAGTACCAATAGTCACGAGCGTTGTAACTTTCATCAAGAAAAAAATCCAAATAATATTAAATATCATATCATAGTTACTTGAGTCAGGCGTCAAGCTAGAGATGTCTTGTCTAGACTCAGATACATCCACGATCGAAACATCATCCATCGCGACATTAAACCGGAGAATCTCTTTCTCTGCCCTACCGATCACCGGTTAAGAGCTAATGGGTATTTGACCAAGATTGGAGATTTTGGGCTAGCTATGGAGAAAGGGTCGATCGAGTACGGTGAAGGAACCGGTCATAGGAGAGGCACTGCAAGATATGAGGCTATAGAGCTTATGAGCCATGGGATTGTGGACTTTGGAGCTGATGTGTGGGCTTTTGGGTGTACGGTTTTGGAGATGTTAACCGGAGAATTGGTTTGGGGAGAATATGGTGATCTTGGTTTCGATGATTGGGTCCATCTCATTGGTCACAGTGATTGCCTTCCTCGTATACCGGGTTGGTTGTCTAAAGAAGCATTAGATTTTTTGAGCAGATGCTTGGAGAGAGACGTACACAAGAGGTGGTCTACCCATTCACTCACGAATCATCCCTTTGTTAGGCTGTGAAAAAAATTGAAGAGTATAGTATCTAATGATCCATGTGTTTATGTCAATTTTAAAAAGTGGTAAATCTTTGTTCTTTCAATTTTTTGGAACGGTTTTCTGTTCTTCCACTACATGATATTTTGTAGGAGTGGTAAAGTCTTTTAAACGCTATTTTTATCAATCACTTCGAGTTCTGTATCACTAGAGTTGTGGAATCAACCATGCACATAATTTTGAAAAAAATAAAAAAAATTGGAATTTCTGTTTCAGTAACAATGTAATGTTAATGTATGTGTGATGGGATTTTGAATAATTTAAAATCCTTAAACAGAACATTTTTATAATTTTACTTGGATCAGTAATCAATCTGAACAACCAATAAATATTATCCAAATCTTCATACAACTTCCGTAAAGATCCATCAACCCAACAAAATCAACAACAAAATCTTCAAGCTTTGGTTTATAATATCAGCAAAACCGATTTCAGAGCCATTGTTCAACTGTTAACCAGACTCGGTTCAACTTCTTCAGTCAATCCTCCAGAGTCACCAAACCTAAACCCACCGAAACTCCCACATTCAAAATTGGTTAAAGTTTGACCAGCTCCTTTGACTCTAAGTTAACCGCCCTCCACCTCCACCTCCGGTTCAATCCGATACAATGGCCTCTGAACCGGGTCTCCCTGTTAACCAATTAACCCAGTCGAATCTTTGATCTCGGCTTATATGCGTTACCTAATCGAATCAATCTTTGTTGGAAACCGACCTCAGGTACAAAACCAGTCTTAATCCAGTCCTAACCGGTTGATTTTCTACACATCAAACCAGTCTTAATCCACTGATTTTCCAGTCTCCAGCTCCACAATTAAAAAGAAAAAAAAAACAATATAATAGAGAAAACTTATGATTTATTTTATTGAAAGAAACAGAGAAATCTTATTGTTGTGAGCCTTCTTCTCCAGTTTCCAGTATTCGATTCTGAGTCGTCCCCTTCTCCCACGATGAATCATAAGCTTGACCAGCTCCTTTGACTCTAACTTAACCACCCTCCACCACCTCCACCTCCGGTTCAATCTGATATAATGGCATCTGAATCGGTTCTCCCTATTAACCAATTTTAGTTAACCTGGTCGAACCTCCAATCTCAGCTTATATGCTTTACCTAATCGAATCAAGCTTTTTTGGAAACCGACTTCAGGTACAAAACCAAAACCATGTCCAACCATCAACCAGTTGTTTTCTTTGCAACAAACCAGTCTTAGACTACTGATTTTCCAGTCTCCAGCTCCACTGTTAAAAAATAAATAACCATACAACAGACTTATATTTTTTTGTTGAAAGAAACAGAAAAACCTTATGTTGGTGAGCCATCTTCTCCAGTTTTCAGTATTCTTCTTAAAGAGACTTATAATTTTTTGAAAAAGATATTAAAGTCTCTGTTTCAGTAACAATACTGTAATGGCAATGTGTGTGATGGGAATTCGAATAATTGAAAACCCTTAAACAAAACATCTTTTATAAATTTTAGTTAAATCAATAATCAATCTAAACAACCAATAAATATTATCCAAATCTTAATACAACTTTCGTTTAGATCCATCAACCCAGCAAAATCAACAACAAAATCCTCAAACTTTGGTTTATAATACCAACAAAACCAATTTAGAGCCATTGTTCAACAGTTAACTGTACTCGGTTCAACTTCTTCACTCAATCCTCCAGAGTCACTAAACCCCAACACACCGAAACTTCCACATTCAAAATTGGTTAAAGTTTGACCAGCTCCTTTTACTCTAACTTAACCGTCCTCCACCTCCACTTCCACCTCCTGTTCAATCCGATATAATGGCCTCTGAATCGGTTCCCCCTGTTAACCAATTTTGGTTAACCCGGACGAATCTCCATTCTCGGCCTATATGCTTTACCTAATCGAATCAAGCTTTGTTGGAAACCGGCCTCAGGTACAAAACCAAAACCCGGTCCAACCATCAACCAGTTTATTTTCTAAGCAACAAACCTATCTTAGTCCACTGATTTTCCAGTCTCCAGCTCAACAATTTTTTTTTAAAAAAAAAAACAATACAACAGAGAAAACTTATAATTTTTTGTTGAAAGAAATGGAAAAACTTTATGTTGGTCAGTCTTCTTCTCCAATTTCCAGTATTCTTCTTAAATAAGATGGGATGGTGATATTCTAGGGAAAGCTTATGTTGTTTGAGATAAAGAACCCGATTTTTCTTTGTTGTGTTAAAATAAAAATACGTTTTTCTTCTATTTTCCTTCCAGCGAGGACTTTGCGATAGAGAGGCTCACCAGCAGAAGTTTTTCCTAGAATCTCACATCCCATCTTTGGAGAAGTATGAGCTTCTGAGCTACAACTCTTCGTCATCATCTTCTTCATTAGGATAGAGATTAGAAGAATCATGAATTCACTGCTAAACACAAAATATATAAATTATCATTTTTATTTAAAAAATTTCATAGATCTAAATATAAACCGCTAGTAATCAAATTAAAATTTAACAATTATTTTAAATGTGCAAAGAGGAAAACAATAACTGTTAGTATGAGAAGCCATAGATGACAAAAACAAGAACAAATTATACAAATATTTTTTAAAATATAATAAATGGATTAAATATAAAAATTCCATAAGTTCTTTAAATGGTACATACCTTTTAAACTGAATCAAGTTCTTTGATTCGATGCATTTGAAATCCTACACAAATTATCAAGAGTTTAATCAAAACTTTCACAATTTTGATCTAAGAAATGCGGCCGCAATGATAACATATAGGTTTAAAGAGTTTCTGCATCTTATATATAGAAAAAATTAACCTAAAAATATCAAAGAGAACAAACGATACCGTATAAAAAAATAGAATCCATTAAAATAAGTCAATGCATAAGTCTAAACATATATAACAAATATAAAAGAGGAATCATGATTTAAGAATATAAAAATTAGATATTGCTATACAATCTTAGAGCATCTGCATTAGATCTCTTACAATAGTTTCTCATATATAACAAACACTAAAAATATTAATATTAATACTGAAGTATAAGAGTCTTTCAAAAAAGTTGAGAGACTCTTTCAAATCTTTGAAAGAGTTTTTCAATGCTTTTTAGACTTTTGTATATTAAATATTACTATTTATTAATTTATTATTATTTTTATAGATAAAAGACTCTTGTGAGAGACTCTACAATACAATGCTCTCAGTGTTCATGTTTCTTTCTTAACATATAAACCAGTATATTATCATTTGCACGATTGGTAAAGACTTCTAATTGCTATTTGTCTCACTTTGAGGTCTATTTAATCTTCAGAATCAATTGTAAACATAATTGTCAAAAAAAAAAAATCTGATTCTCTCTTTTAGTGACAATGTACTGATAACGTGTAACTAGTTCAAAATGTTAAAAATCACAGGCTGTTGGTTTAGTACTTCCCAAATAGATCAAATCCTAACTAAGAACATTTCCTTTCTTTTTTTGAAAAAAGATAGATAGTTAAGAGATAATATACCGTTTTCAACAAATGCAGATTTTATAGTTACGTTATATAGCAAAAAGAGACTCCAAATATGCCACCAAGCCTAATCAAATACTAAGTGAACTAATATCTTGAACAAGTTTCAGGGAAAAGGAATAAGGAATAAATACTCCAATCACAAGAAACTACAGACTGAAAATTACTCTAGAAGTAATCAAATTAATGCTAACATAAGTAACAAAGGAGGCAGAGCACAATGTTAAAAAAATGGTTTAGTAATTTCTAAATAGATCCAATGCGAACTAATTAAGAACATTTTATTCACAATAGTTATAGATAGATAAGTTAAGAATTATATGCATAGCGTTTTGTAAAAAATGCAGATTTTCTTTCCTGTTAAAAGCTCAAAAGACAAAAGCTACAAATATATAGCACAGAGTCATCACAGTTGAGATTCTTAGCTGAAAAACCAGTAAGGAATTCACCAATTATCATTCAAATTTCAGAAAAAAAATTCCCACTCTTTTTTTTTAATCAACAAAATTGAAAAAAAATCGTCTCTAAATCAAAGAAGGAACTATTTCTACAACTACCAATAGTCCAAGATTAATTTCACCATCTAAGCAAATGGAGAGAACAAGATATAGAGATAAAAGGATGCTGAGGATTTCCTACCTTTAGTAGCCATTGTTAGAGTTGGGGATGAAACCATGAAAGAGAAAAGAAGGCGACGATATCTGTTCTAAAAGAATGGTTCAAAAAAATATAGTTTTAATTTTTTGACAACTAATACACGCTTTTAAGGTTTACAAAATTCAAATATATACGGTTAAGGTTATCTGTATTTTCTCAAAGTTTAACATATAGTTGCAAAATTGTGTCACATAACAGTCTTTTCTTCTTTTTTTTTTTGGGTGAAAATTTGAGTTTACATTAGAAAGTCTTTTTGCATCATTTTAACAAGATTCAAAAATTGAACATATAATTCCAATAGAATAATTTCATTCAAAAATATATATTTTTTTTCATCTTGTAAGTATTTTAACTACACTACAAGAATGAGGGGCTTTTCCGTCGAATTATTTACGACGATTTTTAGTCGTCGTAAATTTACGACAACATTACGTCGTATTTACGACGATCAAAAATTTCGTCGTAAATTCGACGTAAAAAATGACCCTCGTAAAATCGTCGTAACGTTACGACGATATTACGATGAATGAAGAACGAATTTTATTTCGTCGTAATGTTGTCGTAATATTTACGTCGATAATACGACTAATTGTCCTCTATCTCGTAATTGACGTAAAATCAATGTAAATGTGATGTAAGTTTTATTTCGACGTAAATTTGATGTAAATATGCAATGGTAATATGTTGGTAACAAAACAAAAAATTCTATATATACCCTTTCTTCTCTCATTATTCCATCAACCCAAAAAAACATATAAAGACACAAATTTTTTGAGTCTTTGAATGTTTAAGTAAAATTTTTAGTAGTTGAAATTTATATCAAATTTC